AAACTTTCGATTTGCACCCTCCCCCCTCAAACTTTCGATTTGCACCCCCCCTCAAACTTTCGATTTGCACCCCCACTCAAACTTTCGATTTGCACTCCCTTCAAACTTTCGATTTGCACCCCCCCCTCATACTTTTTCTATATACCGAGGGGTCTATGGGGGGGGGGGGGGGTTATGACCCCCTAACCCCTCCTGCCTACGCCACTGTACTGCAGTGACAGATTTGGTGGACAGGTATGTTACACCAGCATACAGAACCCAAACCAACACTACACTGCTTCATACATCCTACCCAATCCAGTGGCGTAACACGGGGGGGGGGGAGGTGGGGTGGTCTACACCGAGTGACACCATTTAGTGCGTGACACATCGAGGATAAATTAAAAAAACTTCCTGTTTTAAACAATATCTATTTTTTTTAAATAAAAAATATTAGGGGTTGGGGGGGGGGGGGGTGACACCAAAAGAAAAAAAAAGCTATTTTTAGAAGGGTAGGCCGACACCCTCAGTAAAAGCAGCGGGTGACGTCAGTGCCAACCTCTCTGCACAACCACAACAAGAGGAAATGTTTTATTTTTAACATCTGTCAGTGTCAGGTGATTGGATTCGATGGATGCTCTGTCACGTGATTGTAGCGACCAGAATGTTTTGATTGGCTGGCTGATCTTTCACATTACTGTAGCAACCTAAATTTGTTAAAACAAATTGTATTGGCTAATCATTGACGAAACACCGTCACGAACCAATCAATAAACTCAAACAAAAATAAACAACAATTGAATTAACTCTATAATACCGATAGTATGTGTACCCTCTCTTCATGGCTATTATTTCACGTGCACCCGGACAAAACAAAAATCACACGTCACATTACTATACTTCTTCTTCTTCGTTCGTAATTTTTATTGTTGGGAGGGATCGAGCCTTATCTGCCATAGGGTTTGAACTCGAGACTTTTTTCGAATTTATCAACCATGAGCTTTGCCGACTCGACCATGCTTCCAACACAATTACAGATTACGTGTCAACTGGTTTTGCGCCATTGAGTCCATTGACTCCGATTACAGCCTGCTTTTCTTTTTGGATTTGCTTCCACAACCAAGAACAAACTACAAGGCAGCAGTTGTTTGATTTTGGAGTTGTCTCTCCTAGAAGAGTGGTTGTCCCTAGCTAACGAGCCTCATCTGCCCGAGGGTTCGAACTCGAGACTTTCGGTTTAGCAACCATGAGCTTTACCGAATCGACCAAGCCGACCCCTTACATTACTATACAACACAACACACAAACACAGCACACCATAAAAACATAACGCGATCATCAGTACTACAAATTTCCTTTCTTACACAATCCCACAGACCTGCGACATGCCTATAAAACACAAAAACAACACAAATCAAAAACAAATCATATCGCGATAAGTAACCCGGCTCATTTTATCCCAACAGACCCTTAAATCTACGATAACCCACCCTAGTACCTCCCCTCTACGCAGTAGATCCCGTAGATAACAAAACAAATAGTATAATTCACTCCACAAAAAACCTCCCCAACCCTTAAACAACACACACTGAATCTATTCATAACAACAGGACCGAAATTTAACCCCATAAAGCTTACTTGATCCAGCTGTCATGCGGTAAAGATTACTCGGGTACTACAAAAGGTAAGCACAAATTTTGTTGACACGCTTATCATTTTAAATTCAATAGTCTATATCGATTTTTTTGAAAATATCCAATACCTTATTGATCTGGGTATGATATCTTGGAGAATTCGTCACGCTTGACTGCGTTTGAAACCCGTAACGAAAGATCACCCGTGTGAAATGACTTTTGATTGTGAATGTTTGTCTCTGTTAAGTGTTGCCTTTTAGAGAGTAGGACGTAGAGTTTAGAGAATTACATTACACAAGAAACTAAACCTTCAAACCTTGGGAGTGTTTATAGTGTTACTATTTTTTTACACTTTCAAATATATTATTAGACAGAAAGTACCAAACCGTGTATGTGTTAGTCGCTTTTTGAAATTAATTGAAATTAATATTTAACTTACAATCCATATTTTAAAAAAATTAAAAAGTAGAAACACATAGATATTTAAAGTTCAATGTTTGTATTTAAAATAAACTCAGCTGATTTTGGCTTTTGACAAAATGGAGGATGTGACTTAGTTGAAATCGACAGTGTACATTGATTATATTTTTTTTAAAGACGCGATTGTGTTCTACATAATAGTTCATCTGCTAAAATTCTAAAAGGATTTATAATGTATGTTTGGACCTTAGCTTTGGTCTCAGTACTGCTGTGGTGTGTGGCGGAATGCGCGGTAAGTTGAACTAATAAATATCTCTAGCGTTGTGATTAAATTAGTCGAAAGTTATAAAGTTGCAGGCATAACGATTTATATTAATGAGTGCAAAGATTAAGTTAGGGGTCATCCATAAATGACGTCACGCTTTATTTGATGATTTTTACCTCCCCCACTCCCCTCCGTCACACGTCGTCACAAAAAGCCAGACCCCCATCCTAAAATGACGTCACACCTCAGCCTACAACCCCCCCCCCCCTCAAAATTGCAGTTGAATTTTTTTTTAAACATCGATTTTCTAAAATCTTGTCTGAACTCTATCAAAATAGAGTATTTTAATCAATTCCTATTACATTCCTATTACAGTTTTGTAAAACGCGAATTAACGTCTAAAATTCGTTTTCTAACATTGCTTTTTATAATGCAAAACTGTGACGTCGCACCATCTGAACCCCCCGTCCCCCTAATCACACACCTTCACAAAATTACGGACCCCCCCCTCCCCCCTACAAGTGTGACGTCATTTATGGACGACCCCTGAGCAGAATACATGAGACATTTAAAGCACTGATTTAAGAGTATAATGGCTACATAATATAGAGTCTTGTGTGATATTAGCGATATGGCAAACTGCAAATGTGTTAAACATATAACTCTTCATAATGGTGACTAGACTTTTACTAACATATTTACATTCACTGTTAAAAGTGTACAAATTATATCGTAAAATCAGTCGCTTTTATAAATCTTCCTCTAATCTATCGTGAAATCTGTTTCAAATCTGCCTCTAAAGAAAAGTCTGCTGTTAAAGTTAAATTAAATTTCCAACACCGAGAAACACTGTGTTTTTTAGTCCTTTATTTTTTGTTATTGCCTCACACACTTCCCAGTCGTCAACCACATACACTGTATCATCACAGTCGTACACACAGCTTTTATACACACATTCGGGCTAATCTATATATATAATTCTCTTCTTCGAGCCGTTAGAAAACAAGCTGCAAACGCTCTCCCTACCTCCCCACCCCTACATGGTTTTAGTGAGCTGTGTTCACTCTAAATGTTTACAAGCAGAGCCAACGATTTTAAACGTAGGGGGGGGGGGGGGGAGGGAAGGAAGGGGGGGTTATGGTCCTTAACGAGCTACTTATAGTGTTTTAAAGAAATATTTTCAGTGTCAGCGTTGGTGCTGTCGAATTCACAAATTATGAATTATTGAAAATTAGAAACAACTAAATAGCGGCGTATGTTATGCCGCGGGCCGGCTCGTACTACATAACACACAAGAATAACTCAACTCACAGACGCACTGGGCACGATTTCAGGGGTTTTCTTGCCTGACTAACAAATGACCCGTACATCTGCCTCTAATAATAATGTCAATTACATCTCAAATGTCAGCTATGTTTCAAATGTCAAATCTGTCTCTACAATACCCAGAGGCGTAGCGAGAGGGGGTATACATGTCCCCGGGCGCCGACCTTCGGGGGTGCCAAAATGGGTTGGAAAAACAAATTAAAACCTTAATATGAAGGGGGTGGTGCAAATTGAAAGTTTGAGGGGGGTGCAAATTGAAAAATGAAAGGTTGTTCCCGAAGGAGGCGCCAAATAGAAAGTTTGACCCCGGGCGCCGGGAAGGGTCGCTACGCCTCTGACAATACCGTCCAATCTTCCCCTGTAATGACGTCAAATACCCCCCCCCCCCCCACTTCTCAGCCCACCATCAGCATCTTCGACAAGGTGAGCACCGTGAAGGAGGGCACCGACGTCAACGTCATCCTCTCAGAGATCACGTGCAGCGACCCGGACGGGGACCAGACGACAACGGCCGTCAAGTCTATGGTGCCGTCCACACCCTGCAGCAAGTGCTTTGAGGTCTTAGACTGTCTTCCTAGTGAGTTGTCTGTTTCATCAAATTATTTATGTTAACCGTATCGTTTATCCAGTTTGTTTCATCAAATCATGTATGTTAACCGTAACGTTTACCCAGCTTGTTTCAATATACAATACATCACATCATGTTTTTTATTGATCTTAATGATTTTTTTTATTGCATTCATAATTGCTTAACGAAAAGTAAGTGTTTATTTTATTTATGCGTGTATTGTGTTTTACGGATAATAATAGGATGTGATATCTTTAGTGGAGTTGGCAATCGTCGCTTACTCATGATAAAAAACATTTCTTTAACCGTTTTCTTATGTTGTTAGTGTTTAATTTGAAATTATTGAAGCCTGTTCGAAAGAAAAGAAAAACAACACAACTATAAAAAGAAATAGTATGTTGATCTTCGATATTGCTAGTCATTTTGTTTCTAGACTTGAACACAAGTAATATCAACTTAATGAGTTAAAAATCCTATCAACGTAATTAGTTATAAATTGCGAATTGTCATTGACACATTAACAATCGTTGCATTAATTAAACCCACATTAATATCATCTTAATTAACAACAAATACTATCAACGTAGTTAATTAAAACTGAATTATCACTGACACCTGTAATTAGCAGTATGTAATTAATTAACTTCCAGACGAATGCCTGCAGTATCGTGCAGGTGTTGGTACACTGGCCATTAATGTAATTAACGTAATTAATTAACTTCTAGACGAATGTCTGCAGTACCGTGCAGGTGTCGGTAAACTGGCCATTAATGTAATTAATTAACTGAATTAATTAACTTGCAGACGAATGCCTGCAGTACCGTGCATGTGTCGGTAAACTGGCCATTAATGTAATTAATTAACTGAATTAATTAACTTGCAGACGAATGCCTGCAGTACCGTGCAGGTGTCGGTAAACTGGCCATTAATGTAATTAATTTAATTAATTAATTAACTTCCAGACGAATGCCTGCAGTACCGTGCATGTGTTGATACACTGGTCATAAATGTAATTAATTAACTTAATTAATTAACTTCCAGACGAATGCCTGCAGTACCGTGCAGGTGTTGGTACCCTAGACGCCACAGTGGCCCAGTCCTACCTGCTCAACGTCACGTGCTCCGACAACAAAGAGGCCCCAGCCTATGAGATCATCGAAATCAAGGTCATACCCAACGAGCCGCCATACTTTGACCCAGACTTTCTGTTCGGTAAAATGTTTGATCATATTTAAAAAAAAAATTACATTGTAATAATTGTATTGCTCAGAAACTACCATTATAGTTAAAAGCAGTAGCGTAGGCGGGGGGGGGGGGGGGGGTTAGGGGGGTCATAACCCCCCCATAGACCCCTCGGTATATATATAAGGTATGATGGGTGGGGTGCAAATCAAAAGTTTGATGGGGGGGGGGGGAGAAAATCGAAAGTTTGATGGGGGGGGAGCAAATCGAAAGTTTGAGGGGGGGGGGGGGTGCTAATCGAAAGTTTGGGGGGGGGGGGGGGTGCAAATCGAAAGTTTGTCCCCGGGTAAAAAAATGTAACCCCCCCCCCCCGATCCTGGCTACGCCACTGGTTAAAAGGAATCTATTTAATTAATATCCCTGTTATCAAATTATAGTATGCTTTTTAAAGATGCTCCACAACAAAAGTTATTTTTAGCTTATTGATTTTCATCAATATTTGGACCATGTACACAATTTGTTAATTGTATAAATACTTATATTTAACCACGGCTTAGTTTATCTTGATACATCAATCCTATTCGTTTTAAATTTATTTTCCGTTTTTTTTTCAAAATACTAATATCCTCGTATCGGTGCTTCTTTCAGACATCTCTTCGGACACTGCCACGCCCCATATGCAGTGTTTTTTCCAGACTTTTTTTCTCCGGAGGGGCACTTGAAATTTTTGAGTAGGGGGGGGGGGACACTGTTAAAAGTATATATTTTCTATATAAACTCCATTTCGTTCGGAGGGGGGAGGGCGGAAGACTCTCTTATGGGGGGTAGGGGGTGGGGGCGCTTATCCACTGCCTCCTGGGACGAAATAGAAACAATGTATATTTAATATAGAAAAATACTTTTAATAGTCCCGCCACCCCTACCCCCTCCCCCTACAGACAGAGGCGTAGCGACCCTTCCCGACGCCCGGGGACATACTTTCAATTTGGCGCCCCCGTCGGGAGCAAATTTTCGATTTGCACCCCCCCCCCCCCCTCGAACTTTTCATTTGCACCCCCCCCCCCCTCAAACTTTCGATTTGCACCCCCCCTCGAACTTTCAATTTGGCGCCCCCCCCTAAGGTCGGCGCCCGGGGACATATGCCCCCCGCCCCCCCCCCCCCCCCCTCGCTACGCCTCTGCCTACAGAAGCTTCAACAGCAGCTCCGGAGAAGAATGTCTGAAAAAAAACCCTGCCTGTTTTTACCAAAACATTGAGCTAAATCTTCTAACTCTAGTCTTTACACTTCCTGTTCAGTGGCCAACATTATAGACATTCATCTCCATCATCTAACTCTAGTCCTTACATTCATCTCCATCATCTAACTCTAGTCCTTACACTTCTTGTTCAGTTGCCAACACCATCGATGCGTCAGTGACGTCAGGCAGTGTGCTCTATGACGTCGACGTCAAGGACGCAGAAAATGACGACATCAAGTACACACTCAAAGTCAAACCCACGTCATCGTCAAGTAATTATGCAATCAACCAATGTAAGCAGCTTGTTATTTTATTTGTTTTCGTAAAGGTATGCATGTATTTATATAATACTGTATCAGCTGTTGATGTATTGTAAATGAACGTTGATGCAAATTTCATTTACCATGTATATTGTAACGAGGCTTAGTATGCTATAACCAACACACAGAATATTTTTAAAAATTGTATACGTAACTTTGCTTGCTTTATAACTTAATACATATTAAATAAACTTGGTATAATGTTTTAAAAAAACACAAATATATTGTAAAAGTCATGATAAAATATAACAACCCTAAATATGATGAAACAAAACCTGATATATTGCAACAAAACTTCAGATATATTAACACGTGATTTACAGTAAGAATGCTAAACTGTGCATCAAACAAATAAATCTTTACAGTAAAAAAAACAATCCATCACAGTGACTATATATTAAATCAGGTGCCAGAATTTCATACATATAACTATACTATAAGTAGGCCTATAACATAAACATAATAACAAAACTTGATAAAGTCTTTATCAAGTTTAACGATGTAGTAAAACATCAAGTTTTTTTTTTCCGGCAGTTACCGGAGAGATCCGAGCACTGATCGACATGAAGCAGGAGTGTCGGAATGACGTCACGTTTGAGGTGACCATCAACGACGGCAAAAACACGGTGGGGCCACTGGTCATTGACAACGTCATCACCAGTAAGTGGGTCAGTGGGTCGTTATGTGTTGTGGGTGTGTCGGGTAACATTTTTGTCGGTGAGTCGGGTAAGGTTTTGTTGGTGTGTCCGGGTAAGGTTTTGTTGGTGTGTCGGGTAAGGTTTGGTTGGTGTGTCGGGTAAGGTTTGGTTGGTGTGTCGGGTAACTTTTTTGTCGGTGTGTCGGGTAAAGTTTTGTTGGTGTGTCGGGTAACATTTTTGTCGGTGTGTCGGGAAAAGTTTTGTCGGTGTGTCGGGTAACTTTTTTGTCGGTGTGTCGGGAAAAGTTTTGTCGGTGTGTCGGGTAAAGTTTTGTTGGTGTGTCGGGTAACATTTTTGTCGGTGTGTCGGGAAAAGTTTTGTCGGTGTGTCGGGTAAAGTTTTGTTGGTGTGTCGGGTAACATTTTTGTCGGTGTGTCGGGAAAAGTTTTGTCGGTGTGTCGGGTAACTTTTTTGTCGGTGTGTCGGGTAAAGTTTTGTTGGTGTGTCGGGTAACATTTTTGTCGGTGTGTCGGGAAAAGTTTTGTCGGTGTGTCGGGTAACTTTTTTGTCGGTGTGTCGGGTAAAGTTTTGTCAGTATGTAGGTAAAGTTTTGTCGGTGTGTCGGGTAACTTTTTTGTCGGTGTGTCGGGTAAAGTTTTGTCGGTGTGTAGGGTAAAGTTTTGTCGGTGTGTAGGATAAAGTTTTGTCAGTGTGTAGGATAAAGTTTTGTCAGTGTGTAGGATAAAGTTTTGTCAGTGTGTAGGATAAAGTTTTGTCAGTGTGTAGGATAAAGTTTTGTCAATGTGTAGGATAAAGTTTTGTCAGTGTGTAGGATAAAGTTTTGTCAGTGTGTAGGATAAAGTTTTGTCAGTGTGTAGGTTAAAGTTTAGTCAGTGTGTAGGATAAAGTTTTGTCAGTGTGTATGATAAAGTTTTGTCAGTGTGTAGGATAAAGTTTTGTCAGTGTGTATGATAAAGTTTTGTCAGTGTGTAGGATAAAGTTTTGTCAGTGTGTAGGATAAAGTTTTGTCAGTGTGTAGGATAAAGTTTTGTCAGTGTGTAGGATAAAGTTTTGTCAGTGTGTAGGATAAAGTTTTGTCAGTGTGTAGGATAAAGTTTTGTCAGTGTGTAGGATAAAGTTTTGTCAGTGTGTAGGATAAAGTTTTGTCAGTGTGTAGGATAAAGTTTTGTCAGTGTGTAGGATAAAGTTTTGTCAGTGTGTAGGATAAAGATTTGTCAGTGTGTAGGATAAAGTTTTGTCAGTGTGTAGGATAAAGTTTTGTCAGTGTGTAGGGTAAAGTTTTGTCAGTGTGTAGGATAAAGTTTTGTCAGTGTGTAGGATAAAGTTTTGTCAGTGTGTAGGATAAAGTTTTGTCAGTGTGTAGGATAAAGTTTTGTCAGTGTGTAGGATAAAGTTTTGTCGGGTAACATTTTGTCGGGTAACGTTTTGTCGGGTAACGTTTTGTCGGGTAACGTTTTGTCGGGTAACGTTTTGTCGGGTAACATTTTGTCGGTGTGTCGGGGTAACGTTTTGTCGGGTAACATTTTGTCGGGTAACGTTTTGTCGGGTAACGTTTTGTCGGGTAACGTTTTGTCGGTGTGTCGGGGTAACGTTTTGTCGGGTAACGTTTTGTCGGGTAACGTTTTGTCGGTGTGTCGGGTAACGTTTTGTCGGGTAACGTTTTGTCGGGTAACGTTTTGTCGGTGTGTCGCGTAACGTTTTGTCGGGTAACGTTTTGTCGGGTAACGTTTTGTCGGTGTGTCGGGTAACGTTTTGTCGGGTAACGTTTTGTCGGGTAACGTTTTGTCGGTGTGTCGCGTAACGTTTTGTCCATGTGTCGGGTAACGATTAGTCAGTGTGTCGGGTAACCTTCCAACACGTCATATAAAAAAAAAATATTACTTACAGACTTAAGCAATTATGTTCACTTTTTTCTACGACGTCGCAGCGATATCCGTCACCAAATATTATTCTTTACACCCTGTAATGTGTGTATTGACATTTCAGATGCCAACACGCCCCTCCCCCCTCCCACTGTAACCGAATATATTACCTACAGGCTCAAATATGAGTGTGTACTGAAATTTTAGAAGCCAACACGCCTCCCTCCTGTAACCAAACATACGCTCTAATGTCATTATGTACTGACATTTCAGATGCCAACACGCCCCCCCCCCCCCCTTGTAACCAAACACACGCTCTAATGTCATTGTGTACTGACATTTCAGATGCCAACACCCCCCTGTAACCAAACACACGCTCTAATGTCATTGTGTACTGACATTTCAGATGCCAACACCCCCCCCCCCCTGTAACCAAACACACACTCTAATGTCATTGTGCACTGACATTTCAGATGCCAACACGCCCCCCCCCCCCCCTTGTAACCAAACATACACTCTAATGTCAGTATGTATTGACATTTCAGATGCCAACACCGCCCCTGTGGCCACCAACCTTGACAGAACCATCCAGATCCCAGAAGACGCCACTGGCACCGCATACCGGATGTTTATCCAGGACGGCAACGCCGCCGACAAGGTCACGTACACCTACATAGCCAGTAATGCGGCGGGTGTCAAGCAGTTTAATCTGGATGGTGAGTGTATAGCTAGTGGATGGATAGTGGATATTTTCCAATTTAAAACAATAACCAACTGTTTTAAATTGGAAAATAAAAGTATTTTAAAACATTCTAATAAGAAAAAAAATAAATTAAAAAAAACGGATAGTGGATAGCTAATGGGTAGTTAGTGGATGAATAGTGGGTGGTTAGTAGATAGTTAGTGCAGGGTTGGTGGGTGGTTAGTGGATAGTGGATAGTTAGTGGACGGTTGGTGGATACTTAGTGGATGGTTGGTGGATAGGTAGTGGATGGTTGGTGGGTGGTCAGTGGACGGTTGGTGGATAGGTAGTGGATGGTTGGTGGGGGGTAAGTGGATAGATAGTGGATGGTTGGTGGGGGGTAAGTGGATAGATAGTGGATGGTTGGTGGGGGGTTTATGGGTGGTTGATGGGTGGTTAGTGGATGATTAATGGATGGCAGAAGATCAGTTAGAGGTTATTGAATGGATGATAAGTGGATGTTTAGTTAAAGGTTGGTGGATAGTTAGTGGATTTTTAGTGGATTGTTAATTCTACTAGACGGATATCGATAATGGATAAAAAAATATTCAGTTGATGGTTAGTGGATAACTATTAGATAATTATTGGATGTATAGTGGATAGTTAGATAATAAAAAGTAGAAAGTTAGTGGATAGGTAGTTGATTGCTAGTGGAAATCTAGTGGATGGCTAGTGAATGGCTAGCATAGTATCAGTCTTTAGTGATTAGCCAAGGGCTAGTTAGTAGATGTTCTTTTGATTTATTCGTTTTTAGTTTTTTAAATGCTAGTCATTAGTTAATAGACGTTCAGTACTTAGTTAACGAATGGCCATAAGATAGTTTGTTGATACCCAGTAACTAGTTACACAATGTTGATTCACCTTGCAGGAACAAACCCTAACATCGACATCAAAACGGCCTTGGACTACGAAGCAGTCAGTCTACGACAGACAGATCTTGTGATTCAGGCAACGGATGGGTACTGCACGTCACCTCAGTACAACCTCCGTCTAAAGGTACCTTTTGTTATTCACACCTGGTCTGATACAGGTAGTGGCATCCAGGTGTCCTTGTGTCTTTATCTGCAGTCAGGGGGTGCTGTTATATGCATGGGTTTCTTCGGACATTATTCTCAGGGAAAAAGGGGGGAGGTGGGGGTGTTGGGGGGGGGGGGGGGGCACTTGTAACTTCCGAGCTTGGAGACACCATTTAAAGTATATATATATATATATATATATATATATATATATATATATATATATATATATATATATATATATATATATATATATATATATATATATATATATATATATATATATATATATATTTTTTTTTAAATTTATTTATTTATTTATTTTAAATGGTGTCTCCATATATATATATATATATATATATATATATATATATATATATATATATATATATATATATATATATATATATATATATATACATATGTGTGTGTGTATATGTGTGTGTATGTGTGTGTATGTATGTATATTCTCTTTGGACTAGCCCAAGAGAAGGGATGGGTGCACGGCATAAGCGTTAGTGAGATCAGTACTATCCATAGCTGAAGGTTTGAATTGTAATAAATCTGAGTATGAAAGTGCAAGTTTACAATGGTGGATCTCTGCTTTAACACCCAGGTAACTGATGTCAACGAGAAGCCCACAATCTCACCTGTGATTTCTAGGATCCAGCTGTGTGAAGGGCAGGTAAGTTACCTGCGGTGTATGTGTGTCCTTGACATTTGAATAGCAGCTGATGTCATCTGATACAACTGTGACTTGTAGCAAACGACAAATGTTACTAATGACCTAAAGATTAATTATATTATTTGTGACTAATGAATTAATTGACCAATAACACGTGCGACTAATTAAATATCTAATCAAAGATATATGTGACGAATGACATTTGAGACTAAAGTTTTAATTAAAATTTTACCAATGACCCTTGTGACTAATGTTATATATGACAGCTAATATCTCTTACTACTAACATCTAGCTATTCAAGGCACCTTACTTTAATTCGGTGTCAGTATTACCCTTCGGATGAATCACTTTCCCATATAGACTCTTATTAAATTTACATTATGCGAATGCTAATACCCATAGTAGTCAGAGATAAATCCACTTGGTTAAAATATTGTACATACATCAGTAAATAGTAATTGACCAAACCCGCACCCCCGCCCCTCCACACACACACACATATACACACACACACATCCCACGTGTCAATATTATTTTTCTGACTCAGTGGCCTAATGTCCAATTGTTACAAACAAAAATAATATATTATATTTGAATAAAGATTATTCTATTTTCAATTGAAAAAAAAACAACTGTATGCCACGTTCTTTGATTGCCATAATATTCTTTTATATAGAAATACATTTTTAAATCTATTTTTATAATGTATCCGGTACTTTTCGGTTTACAGTTAACTTGCTAAATACATTTTCATTTTAACTTTTATGTTCGATACATTTTATTTTTAAAACAACGATTACGTTACTTCAGCAAGAGTTCGATCCCGGCTACGTGTTGAGCGATCCCGACACTATCGATACCCACCGCTGGACCCTGAGCTCTAAGATGGCCAACCCCAACGGCCGGTTTGGTATCGATCCTAACACGGGAACCCTCAAAACTTTGATGGACTACGATGTTGATAAAGTGGGGAAGATGACTGCTACAGTCACATACATTGTACAGGTAGGTTGATAAAGTGGACAGTCACATTGTACAGGTAGGTTGATAGATTGGACAGTCACATATATTGTACAGGTAGATAGACACATACATATGCAGGTAAGATGATATAATACACAATCCCATACTTAGTGCATGTAGGTAGATAAAGTTGACACTCACATTGTGCAGGTAGGTTGATAGATATGACAATCAAATTCATTGTGTAGGTAGTTGATAAGGTGGACATTCACATACATTGTGCAGGTAGGTTGATAAAGTGGACAGTCACATACATTGTACAAATAAGGTGATAGAATACACAATCAGTACTTAGTGTAAGTAGGTTGATATATTAGACAGTTACATACATTATGTAGGTTGTTGATAAGGTCGGCAGCTACGTTGACATAGATCGGTCTGGTCGTTGAGTTTTACACAATGACCAGAAAACCATGAGCAGATATTGTGCGAGAGTGATAGAGATGCATCTACGTAAACTATAATATAGCTTTTTATAAAAAGGCGGCCGATTTGAGGTAGAATGGTATACGTAGATGATAAGCGTAAGCTCCATTAATTAATATTTAAACTCATCGTACATACAGGGTTCTGTATTTTAACGCTAATACATAGCAACGTACTTTAAGTAATCTGGCTGTTACGTTTCTCTTGTTGAAAGCATTGGATGAAGGGCGATTGTGTTGAACATTATTGACCCAGAATTTCTAGTTTCCTTACATATATAATGTAAATAAAATATAGTTGTAAAGTATTTTTCATGTTATATTTTATATGTAGCAAAACAAATTTCCTGTAACCCACATATACCATGTTATGACCATAGCATCATACTTAGACATTCCGTATGGTCTTTTTTATACCTGTAACATCCGGTCAGGAGGTCACACTGTATTCTCACAGGTTGAAGACAAAGGTGGACTCACAGCCACAGCATCAGTTGTGGTGACCTTCCTAGACTGTAACGACAACGCCCCTGTGTTTGTTCAGCCCGCCTACGGTCGCTCGGCCACGGACTGCACACCCGCAGGTAACCGGAGTACGGGAGGGAGGGACGGGTGTGGCTGGGGTGTAAATGGAAGTAGGGACGGGGTGGGGCTGGGGGAGAGGTTAGAGAGTGAGGGACGGGGTGGGGCTGGGGTGTATAGGGAGGGAGGGGCGGGGTGTGGCTGGGGGAGAGGTTAGAGAGTGAGGGTATGTATGTGGCTGGGGTGTATAGGGAGGGAGGGAGGGACGGGATGTGGATGGGGTGTAAATGGAAGGAGGGACGGGATGTGGCTGGGGTGTATAGGGAGGGAGGGAGGGACGGGATGTGGATGGGGTGTAAATGGAAGGAGGGACGGGATGTGGATGGGGTGTAAATGGAGGGAGGGGCGGGTGGGGCTGGGATATATAGGGTGGGAGGAGCGGGTTGTGGCAGGGGTGTATTGGGAGGGAGGGAGGGGCGGGTTGTGGCAGGGGTGTATAGGGAGGGAGGGAGGGGCGGGGTGCGCAAGGGGTGTATAGGGAGAGATAACGAGGTGGGGCTGGGATGCATAGGGAGAGAGGGATGGGGTGGGGCTGGGATATATAGGGAGGGAGGGACGGGGTGGGGCTGGGATATATAGGGTTGGAGGGGCGGGTTGTGGCAGGGGTGTATAGGGAGGGAGGGAGGGCCGGCGTGTGGATGGGGTGTATAGGGAGAAAGGGACGGGGTGGGGCTGGGATATATAGGGAGGGACGGGGTGCGTCAGGGGTGTATAGGGAGAGATAACGGGGTGGAGCTGGGATGTATAGGGAGGGAGGGACGGGGTCGGGCTTGGATGTATAGGGAGGAAGGGAGGGGTGGGGCTGGGATGTATAGGGAGGGAGGGACGGAGTGGGGCTGGAGGAGAGGTTAAAGAGTGAGGGACGGGGTGTGGATGGGGTGTATAGGGAGAGAGGGGCGAGGTGCGACTTCGGTGTATAGGGAGGTAGGGACTGGGTGTGGTTGGGATGTAAATGGAGGTAGGGACGGGGTGTGGCTGGGATGTAAATGGAGGTAGGGACGGCATGTGGCTGGGATGTAAATGGAGGTAGGGACGGGGTGTGGCTGGGGTGTAAATGGAGGTAGGGACGGGATGTGGCTGGAATGTATAGGAAGATAGGGACGGGGTGTGGCTGGGATGTAAATGGAGGTAGGGACGGGGTGTGGCTGGGGTGTAAATGGAGGTAGGGACGGGGTGTGGCTGGGGTGTAAATGGAGGTAGGGACGGGATGTGGCTGGGATGTAAAAGGAGGTAGGGACGGGGTGTGGCTGGGATGTATAGGAAGATAGGGACGGGATGTGGCTGGGGTGTAAATGGAGGTAGGGACGGGGTGTGGCTGGGATGTATAGGAAGATAGGGACGGGGTGTGGCTGGGATGTATAGGGAGATAGGGACGGGGTGTGGCTGGGGTGTAAATGGAGGTAGGGACGGGGTGTGGCTGGGATGTATAGGAAGATAGGGACGGGGTGTGGCTGGGGTGTAAATGGAGGTAGGGACGGGGTGTGGCTGGGATGTATAGGAAGATAGGGACGGGGTGTGGCTGGGGTGTAAATGGAGGTAGGGACGGGGTGTGGCTGGGGTGTAAATGGAGGTAGGGACGGGATGTGGCTGGGATGTAAATGGAGGTAGGGACGGGGTGTGGCTGGGGTGTAAATGGAGGTAGGGACGGGATGTGGCTGGGATGTATAGGAAGATAGGGACGGGGTGTGGCTGGGGTGTAAATGGAGGTAGGGACGGGGTGTGGCTGGGGTGTAAATGGAGGTAGGGACGGGGTGTGGCTGGGATGTATAGGAAGATAGGGACGGGGTGTGGCTGGGGTGTAAATGGAGGTAGGGACGGGGTGTGGCTGGGGTGTAAATGGAGGTAGGGACGGGATGTGGCTGGGATGTAAATGGAGGTAGGGACGGGGTGTGGCTGGGGTGTAAATGGAGGTAGGGACGGGATGTGGCTGGGATGTATAGGAAGATAGGGACGGGGTGTGGCTGGGGTGTAAATGGAGGTAGGAACGGGGTGTGGCTGGGATGTAAATGGAGGTAGGGACGGGATGTGGCTGGGGTGTAAATGGAGGTAGGGACGGGGTGTGGCTGGGATGTATAGGAAGATAGGGACGGGGTGTGGCTGGGGTGTAAATGGAGGTAGGGACGGGGTGTGGATGGGATGTAAATGGAGGTAGGGACGGGGTGTGGCTGGGGTGTAAATGGAGGTAGGAACGGGGTGTGGCTGGGATGTAAATGGAGGTAGGGACGGGATGTGGATGGGATGTAAATGGAGGTAGGGACGGGGTGTGGCTGGGGTGTAAATGGAGGTAGGAACGGGGTGTGGCTGGGATGTAAATGGAGGTAGGGACGGGGTGTGGCTGGGGTGTATAGGGAGATAGGGACGGGGTGTGGCTGGGGTGTAAATGGAGGTCGGGACGGGATGTGGATGGGATGTAAATGGAGGTAGGGACGGGGTGTGGCTGGGATTTAAATGGAGGTAGGGACGGGGTGTGGCTGGGGTGTAAATGGAGGTAGGGACGGGATGTGGCTGGGATGTAAATGGAGGTAGGAACGGGATGTGGCTGGGATGTATAGGAAGATAGGGACGGGGTGTGGCTGGGGTGTAAATGGAGGTAGGGACGGGATGTGGCTGGGATGTAAATGGAGGTAGGGACGGGGTGTGGCTGGGGTGTATAGGGAGATAGGGACGGGGTGTGGCTGGGGTGTAAATGGAGGTAGGGACGGGGTGTGGCTGGGATGTATAGGGAGATAGGGACGGGATGTGGCTGGGGTGTAAATGGAGGTAGGGACGGGGTGTGGCTGGGGTGTAAATGGAGGTAGGGACGGGATGTGGCTGGGATGTATAGGGAGATAGGGACGGGGTGTGGCTGGGGTGTAAATGGAGGTAGGGACGGGGTGTGGCTGGGATGTATAGGGAGATAGGGACGGGGTGTGGCTGGGGTGTAAATGGAGGTAGGGACGGGGTGTGGCTGGTGTATAAATGGAGGTAGGGACGGGGTGTGGCTGGTGTATAAATGGAGGTAGGGACGGGGTGTGGCTGGGGTGTAAATGGAGGTAGGGACGGGGTGTGGCTGGGATGTATAGGGAGATAGGGACGGGATGTGGCTGGGGTGTAAATGGAGGTAGGGACGGGGTGTGGCTGGGATGTATAGGGAGATAGGGACGGGATGTGGCTGGGTTGTATATGAAGGGAGGGGCGGGGTGGGTCTGGGATTTATAGGGTGGGACCGGTGGGGCAGGGGCTGAGATGTATAGGGTGGGAGGGACAGGTGGGGCTGGTAGTGGGGATTTAGGGAGGTAGGGACGGGGTGTGGCAGGAATGTGTAGGGAGGGACGGGGAATAGCTGGGGGAGAGTTTAGAGATTGAGGGACGGGATGTGGCTGGGGTGTTTAGGGAGGGATGAACAAACATGTAGAGAACTTAACTATGAGAGGACAATATAGAGAACGATAGATCTACCTGGTACACAATAGAACACACTTTCACACGTCTAGCATTTAGGTTACTTAATTGATTATCACGGCCTCAGCTTCACCCTTTGTAAACCCAACCCCTGATTGACCCACCCTAAGTTAACCCAACCCCTGACTGACCCATTCTAAGTTAACCCAACCCCTCCTTACATTGCCTACACAGTTACTGTGGTTGTTACGTAATATGCCATTTGCCCACCTTAAATACTGAGGCCTAGTTTCCAAAATACATACTTTTATTTTATGATGACTTGTCGCAATATTTGAATGTCTGAATATATATTTGCACAGCGTTAGAAAAAGTATTGATTTGCCTTAAATCTAATCTGTTAATTACGATCTCCACAGCACGATACAATAATGTTGTCGTTCGTGGATTTTTTAAATATTTTGTTTATTTTAACCTTAATAAAAATGAATTCCTATACGTCAGCTAGCAAGTAAAATAGAAATGTTTTAAAATATATTTATAAATTTAATAATTTTTGTCCATTATAAGTTTTCCAGATAATTTAGACAAAAAATTAATGTAGTTAATGTTGTTATATTATAATTAAATTAAATGTAAATAAAAAATCTTATTTTATAATTTGCAATGAAACAAATTGAAAGAAATTGTAAATATTTATTTGTTAAGTTTGATTTTCTGTAAGTTTAGATATTACTGGGTAAATATATGTAGGTTATTTCCCTTGGTTGTTTGTATTTTGTAACGGGGGCTGAGAGCAGTGGTTCTTAACCTTTTTGGAGGAAACAAACCCCACAAACTTCATATGCATATTCACCGAACTCTTCTAAATAGAAAACATAAAATATATTTTTCTCTTTCAAATTCAAAACATTAACGGTGTATAACCCCATTAAAATCAAAAACATAATAATTAATTCGGCGAGCGTTGTTTTTGTATTTTCCATTACCTTGCAGCTTTAAGGAAGTAGATCTAGATCTATTCTCTTTTGCGGAGCTAGACTAGTATTGCTCAACTAGGCATTGCAAATCATCCTTGTAGTCATAATCGTAGCGAGGGCGGGGCGGGCGGTGCGGACCGCACCGTGTGACAAGATTTAGAGGGGGGTGACACCATGGCAAAAAAAATGCATATTACAGAAGACACACGCTTTTTGCCAGTTCCATTATTGGTTAATTAAAGTTGAATAGAATTTTAAGCAGAAACTGACAAATATTACATGCGGATGGTGGTGAAACCAAGACGTAAACGTGCTAACGATAGAGAAAACAGTGCTACATCCAACTGTATTATTAGCAGACTAAAAATAAACATCGTTACTATTATGTATGCAGTAATTAAAGTTTATGCGCATTATGCCAAAGCAGGTCGAAACACACACACAGATATATATATATATATATATATATATATATATATATATATATATATATATAGTACACTATATAGATAATGCAAACATAGACAGCCTACCACATACATTATCCAAGTGTATTGTATATGATTGTATAATTTCCTTGAGATCTGAAATATGTTATTTGTATTTACACAATGCAAACAAAGACATCTTACCTCGTACATGATCAAAGTGTATTGTATATGATTGTATAATTTTTCTTAATAATTATGATCTAAACTATTTTGCCATGACTATTAACTATGCCGTCGTGTCCCTACTTTATCGTCTGCTCCTCCCCCACCCAGGCACCGCCCTCGCTGGCATCTCGGCCACAGACGACGACTCGTCCAGGGAACAGAACAACGTCATCTACTACGTGTGAGTCATAGTTACTTTTGTGACATGACACTGACACGACAGTGACACGATTCTTGTTTTTTTTTTTAAAGTTAGTAACAACCAGTATTTTTTCCAGACATATCTTCGGGGGTGGAGGGGGGGGGGCTAATCCCCTACCCCCCCCCCCCCCCACCCCTCGAAGATAATCTACCGCCCCCCTCCCTCCCCCGAACGAAATGGATTTATATAGAAAATATATTTTAACAGTGTCCGCCCCCTCCCCCCGAAAATTTTAAGTGCCCCCCCCCCCCCCGGAGAAAAATGTCTGGAAACACGGGCTATAACTCTTCAAAGTTGATATTATTTCGCTTTAAGGAGTACAATTTTTAATCGCATTCTGACTACTCCACAAATCTAAGGTAGCATCCACTTCTGCTTTAACGGATACAATTTTCAATCACAAGAATGCAAATCCACTGATCTAAAGCAGCATCTACTTCTGCTTTAAGGAGTACAATTTTACATTACATTATGAAAACTCCAGCCTTATAAGCCAACATCCACTTCTACCTTAGGGGGCTTAAGGTTTTTGTCACATTATGACTCCACCCATCTAATCTAGCATCCCCTTCTATATTAAACACGACTCCACCGATCTTAACTAGCACCCCCTTCTGCTTTTTGTGCTAACATTTTCTGTATTAAACATGACTCCACCCATCTAAACTAGAACCCCCTTCTGCTTTTATGGGCAACATTTTCTGTTTTAATAATGACTCCACAGATCTAAACTAGCACCCCCCTCCTTCTGTTTTTAGGGGCTAAGTTTTCTGTATTAAACATGACTCCACCCATCTAAACTAGAACCCCCTTCTGCTTTTATGGGCAACATTTTCTGTTTTAATAATGACTCCACAGATCTAAACTAGCACCCCCCTCCTTCTGTTTTTAAGGGCTAAGTTTTCTGTATTAAACATGACTCCACCCATCTAAACTAGAACCCCCTTCTGCTTTTATGGGCAACATTTTCTGTTTTAATAATGACTCCACAGATCTAAACTAGCACCCCCCTCCTTCTGTTTTTAAAGGCTAAGTTTTCTGTATTAAACATGACTCCACCCATCTAAACTAGAACCCCCTTCTGCTTTTATGGGCAACATTTTCTGTTTTAATAATGACTCCACAGATCTAAACTAGCACCCCCCTCCTTCTGTTTTTAGGGGCTAAGTTTTCTGTATTAAACATGACTCCACCCATCTAAACTAGCACCCCCTTCTGCTTTTAGGGGAAAAGATGTCTATACTAAACATGACTCCACCTATATAAACTAGTATCCACCTCCTCACCTCTCCCACCCCCACCCCCTTCTGTTTGACAGAGGCTCTGGGGGGAGTGTCAGTGTGGGTACGGGCGGGGAGATCATCGTCAACCAGGCCCTCCCCGCGGGCAGTGTCGTCACCTTCAACGCCTACGCCTACGACAAGGGTCAGACTCCGGGGCCTCTCAGGAGCGCCAACCCGGCGGTTATAAGTGTTAGGTTTACGGTGAGTTTTTATTTTGTTTGTTAGTTAAGTGTTAGGTTTACGGTGAGTTTTTAATTTGTTTGTTTGTTAAGTGTTAGGTTTACGGTAAGTTTGTGTTTGTTTGTTAAGTGTTAGGTTTACGGTGAGTTTTTAGTTAAAAGTTAAGTGTTAGGTTTACGGTGAGTTTTTAGTTAAAAGTTAAGTGTTAGGTTTACGGTGATTTTTTTAGTTAAAAGTTAAGTGTTAGGTTTACGGTGAGTTTTTAATTTGTTTGTTTGTTAAGTGTTAGGTTTACGGTAAGTTTGTGTTTGTTTGTTAAGTGTTAGGTTTACGGTGAGTTTTTAGTTAAAAGTTAAGTGTTAGGTTTACGGTGAGTTTTTTAGTTAAAAGTTAAGTGTTAGGTTTACGGTGAGTTTTTAATTTGTTTGTTTGTTAAGTGTTAGGTTTACGGTAAGTTTGTGTTTGTTTGTTAAGTGTTAGGTTTACGGTGAGTTTTTAGTTAAAAGTTAAGTGTTAGGTTTACGGTGAGTTTTTATTTTGTTTGTTTGTTAAGTGTTAGGTTTACGGTGAGTTTTTAGTTAAAAGTTAAGTGTTAGGTTTACGGTGAGTTTTTATTTTGTTTGTTTGTTAAGTGTTAGGTTTACGGTGAGTTTTTATTTTGTTTGTTTGTTAAGTGTTAGGTTTATGGTGAGTTTTTATTTTGTTTGTTTGTTAAGTGTTAGGTTTACGGTGAGTTTTTATTTTGTTTGTTTCTTAAGTGTTAGGTTTACGGTGAGTTAATAATTTGTTTGTTAAATTTTAGGTTTATGTTAATAGTTTGCTAAATGTTAAGTTTTAGGTTTATGTTGAGTTTTTGCTAAATGTTAAGCAGTTGGTTTATGGTGAGTTTTTTACTATATGTTAGATTTGGGGTTTCAAGGCAGATTTTCTTTTAAAGTTAGGTTTTTGGTTTACTTGAGTATTGTCTGAAATTTAGTTTTAGGGGAGTTAAAGCTAACTTCTAGATTAGAGGTTTAAATTTTTATTTGAAGGCTATGTTGTAGTTTTACAGTTAACTTGGCTGAAGGTTATGTTTTTGGTTTACTGTGAACTCAAGCTATCATGACCTAAGGTTTAGATATTGAGCTAGAGATTTACTATTGATTTTTAGATACACAGTGGGTGTAGGGTTAAGGCGGATTTAATGCTAAATCTTTCAGTTTAAGTTGAGTTGTAGATACATGTTAGGTTTTTGGCGTAAAGTGAGTTTTGTGACCACGTGGGCTTGTGTTTTTTTTTTTTTTTTTTTCTTTAGAAATTCGTTTATTTTATTGGTTTTGGCTTATTGCTGAGCAAGCTTGATGGAAAATTTTTGGTGTGTTTAGGGTTTTAGATTTGAATGAGTTTTAGGTTTTGGGATTTTCTTAAGCAGGTGTAGCTTGTAGTTTTGGTGGGATTTGGGATAGGTTAGGTTTAATATTGACTGCTTTATAAAAAAAAAACTATAATTATTATAGTTAATTTTATAGTGTATTTTTGTGTTTCACATTCAGTTCCCTTAGTATCAGCTTCATGCTCCCTCCCATACCGATCAACCCACACTAGTGTTATACATCGGTTAACTTTTGTATTTTTATCTCCCCATACAGCCGTGTCCCACGACAACCCCACCCGTCACTGCAGCGCCAACCCAGGCCCCGGTTGTGACAACCACGAAAGCCATAGCAACCACAGTCCTGGTCCAGAAGAAAGATGTAAGTCCAAAGTCCTGTGTATAGCTTGAGTCAATGTGGCCCAGTCACAGAACAAATAAGGCAACCCACGCGTGTTTGGTTTGAATCCTGCTCTAGATTATGTGTGGAGTTACTTGTAGAAATGTACCCTGTATCGACTTTATCAATTTCTAACTGTACCGGACGGATATTTTTATTTCGTTAATTAATTGTGTATTTTAGCTGGTAGCCTGGGATATTATATCAACTCGAGTGAATTGGTCATGTTTTTATGAATAACAGAGACAAATTTACACATTGATTTGTGTATTATTATGGGTCTATTTATAATAATCTAAAATGAAATTTAAATTTAGTTAGTCTAGCGGTAGAGAGCTCGACTGCTAACACGTAGGTCTCGAGTTCGAATCCTGGTTCAAGTCAGTAGACGGTCCCTAAGTCTTCCCAACACTGATGGGTACCTAACTCACGTTAGGGAAATTAAAAGCGGATGGGCATAGTGCTGACCACACTATCCCTTCATTTGCCGAGGTCACAGAAAAAAATGAACTTTACTTCACTTGCCCTATAGACCGTCAGGTTTGGCAGACGAACTTCACATTTTACTTAATTAATCTCTTTCTAATCCTGCACCCCCAGGACTCGAACCTACCTTGGATTATCATAGCGGCACTGCTGGGTACCTTCATGCTAGGCCTGTTGATCTACATGTTGTGGAGGTATGGAAGTCTGTGTCTTAACGCTTGCGGGAAGATCAACTGTCGGCAGAGGTGCTGTAGGCCCAGGATGGAGAGGTGAGACAGTTAGGGTTAGATTTGGATCAGAGGCGTAGCGAGGTGGGGGCGGGGGACGGGGGGGGGGGACATATGTCCCCGGGCGCCGACCATAGGGGGGGGGGGGGCGCCAAATTGAAAGTTTGAAGGGGGGGTGCTAATGAAAAGTGCGAGGAGGGGGGTTGCAAATCGAAAGTTTGTCCCCGGGCGCCGGGAAGGGTCGCTACGCCTCTGATTTGGATTAGGTTTAGTTTAGGTTTATATTAGAGTTTAGTTTAGAGATTATAGGACGGTGTGGTCGACTGGTAGAGCGTTTGGGTGTTAGCAAGAAGGTCTAGAGTTCGGATCCCGGTTCGGATTTTAGGAAGTCCATCAGTCCGCCCAGCTCTGATGAGTACCTGACTTACGTTGGTGAAAATAGAAATGTTTGTAATGGTTAGCTTTTTGGTCTAGATCCCGCTATGTCATAAAACGTGTATCCTTTCAACAATAAAAAAATCAGTATACTCGGACTCAAGATTTAATTGGCAATTATAACGTTTTGATTTATAAACGCGAATTATGAATGTATGAATATTCAATAACATCATATTTAAATATACAACAATACATCAACATGATCAAGCTCATAGACAATAAGTTACGATATTTTTCTTCTTAGAATTAGGACACCCCCCAAGATTGAAAGACGACCACCCATGCAGAAAGAATACCAGCCGCCCACTCAACCAGTGTAAGAATTGTTTCCTACATTATAGTGATACGACTTTTCACTTTCCTCTTGATGTTTACTATCTTTGACTAGAAATACAGTACATAATTTGCTAACAAGAGGAAGATCTTTTTTTTTAAAAGTTTATTTTTAATAAAAACCATATATATATATATATATATATATATATATATATATATATATATATATATATATATATATATATATATATGGTTTTTATTAAAAATAATATATAATATAATATATATATATATATATATATATATATATATATATATATATATATATATAATTTAATAAACCCACTACATACACCTTATCACATTATATATACATCTAAACCTTGATCAACTATATCTAACAGGCGCGAACCAGACCCCATTGGCCCAGGATTTTTATTTGGCTTCTGGAAAGAACGTAAGACACAGTTTATAACTACACATGCTGTGCTTTTCATGTTATTTTTTAATCTGTTTAAGACAAATGTTAAAATATGTCATAATATAATTATTCTATTATCCGCAATGCATACTTACCGCGGATTGAAAGGTATTTTCTAAATCTTGTCCATTACAAACATATAGATTTTGTAAATAAATAGATGTTTTTGGTAAAAGGGTTAGACGCAATTTTAATTAAAGACCTGTGGTACAAGGAACATTCAATAGATAGGGGGATTTGGGGATGGGATGGAGCGGAAATACGTTTAAGAGGGAAGTAGAGTTCACCTGTTTCTGCGACCTTGGTATATGAAGGGATGTTGTGGTCATCACTATGCCCAGGCGCCTTTACCCTAGCCTGAGTTGGGTGCCCATCATAGCTGGGTTAATTCAGGGTCAACTGACTTGAACAAGGATTCGAACTCGAGACTTATGAGTTAGCAGTCCAGCTCTCTACCGCTAGGCCACTGCATTCCTTTAAGAAAAAAGAGCATACGATTAATGTTTGGTTAGACTGGAATCCCAGGGGAGGAGAGGTTGAGGAGAGAGAGGAGGTTGAAGAAGGAGTTAAGGGCTGTGGGCTTACGTGGGCGGAAATAAAAAGGGCTGCCCAAAACATAGCCTGGTAAACAGCCCTATACTATTTAGTGTCCACAAAGGTACAAGTCAATGACATAAAAGATACAGTGTTAAGGATGTTATGCTGTGCCTTCACCATGCTACTTTGTAATTATACACTTATTATTTTTTATCGCTTATTTCCGTGTTTTGGTTTTATGAATCATATTGTTTAATAAATCCCTAAATAAGGTAGTTATCAATGCTCTTGACATCTGCAATAACAAAAAAATGTAAATAGTACTTTCAAAATAACAATGAAGTCCAGTACTTTAATGAATACTTGAAAGCCCGGTAATTTTAAGAGGTATTATGAGTTTTAAATCCAAATAATTTCATGAAATGTATTGGTTATTAGAAAGAATGTAGGCCTATAGTAATCAGCGCTTTTTCGAATCAAAGTTGCTAGCCTTAATTAAAATGATCACCCAATGTCTTTACATAAACAATCTCTAAACAAAACCGCATTTCTTTTCTTAACTGATGTCGACTCATCTCCTCAGGGTATCCTGACGACGATTTCAAGACCCAACCGGACAGGAAGCGTCCACCCACCCCCGGGGACATGGAGCAGCACTACCCCCACACCGTCGACCCAGTCGAGGACCCCCTCACTGAGGCTGAGGCGGCGCCCCACCCCAAGAAGAAACAGAGGTGTAGCGTCATGTAAAACGGAGTCGGCATTAACATTCTCGTGTGGAGGGTCGTCTAGTGCACTAGTTATTGTAGTGCACTGGTTCGTCTGGTGCTTTAGGTCATCTGGTGCACTAGGTCGTCATATTATGCACTGGGGCGTCTGGTGCACTGTGTCGTCTGGTGCACTGTATCGTCTGGTGCACTTGGTTATATTGTGCACTGGGTCGTTTAGTGCACTGGGTCATCTGGTTTACTCCTGTTTATACGTTGATAGCCCTCCACCCACTATTACATCCCCCACACCGACCATGTGTAACAAATGATTATCTAATATATGAGAATTTAACGTGATATTTGTGTTATTTTGAATGAAATGGGCTTGTTACGAAATTACTCTTTAGTTACAGGAATTTTTTTCTTAACATCCAATATGTAACTTCTTTATTTCCATTTTTTTAACCGCCTCAGACAGCGTTAGTTTGCCTTGCATGTTCGCTTTAGTATTACAGTTTTCATAATCGGCTTTTGAGGACTGATACAGATTTATAATAGTAATATATCAATATCGTTCATCAAATAAGAAAACGAGTAAATAAATAAGAAAGAGAACACTTTATATTATTTTATTGTTTGTAAGTTAAGATTGGTTAATAATATTTAAATATATTCTGGTAAATAATGCTACAGCTATTTTAATTCAAATTTATGATCTCTTAATAATTGAAAACTACAAAAGAAAAATAAGTGAAAATAGTATTTTTTTTTAACATTCTACCAGTATATATCAATACATGTACAGCTACTTTGTTGATGACATGGGGAGTTATCTTTCCGCATTCTTTGTTACATTCCCATAGGTTTATGTGACCACTGTGATATTAATGTGTTAATACATTGTTTGTATAATAAGCTGTGAATATTTTAAGTTATAAACTATTGTAAAATACACAATTCACTTACAATTTTGTTGTTTATATTCATAGTCCTTATGTTTTGTTGTTTTTATTTATTTCCCCCCTAGACACTTAAAATAACTGAACGATTCGCAGTCTTAAAAGATGTTATAATGTCCAGAAAAATAATGTTTACAAATTTTATAAAAGATCTTTGAGGAGAAAAACTGTCTATCGTACGTAGAAGATGTTAGCTTTTTCGCTTGTTTTAATTTTTTTTTTTAATTTTTTTTATTTTTTTTTTTTATTTTTTTTTTTTTTTGTGCGTTGAGATCTAAACTAAATTTAATGCATTTGATCATTTACAATCAAAGATAAGATTCTTGAAATAAACGTCCATACCATATATGTGGTTGGTATAGTTTACAAGCATATATGGCCAATTTTCTTGCATAGATCTGTTTCTATTTTATAAATTACTGTTTACTGTTTCTAATAGTTATGTTATAAAGACTATGATTTAAAATTTTACATTTGTGCGTTGTTGTTTTTTTTTTGTGTAGTTGTCTGGGTGTTGCTGCGTGTGAGGGTGTGTGGGATATGTGTGTGTGTGTGTGTGTGTGTGTATAACTAAACACATTTGTAGATCATATGTAGAACATCTTCATCTTTCATCTTAAATCAAAGAGCCGCTCATATCCACAATTCTCACATACAAGTAACGTACGCACAACACTAGATACTGATAGACTACAATTTTCACATACACGTAACTTACGCAAAGCCCCTGATACTGATAGTCAAGGTTCGAGCCCTGCCTCATTTTATTTATCCCTTTGGTCGTTAGATGAATCAACTGCTGTAAATCAGGTGAAGCTTCTCAAAGTATAAACAAGTAAACTCTACTGTACCTGCGCTAACTGACTTAAATAACATTTACCTATATATTTTACTAACTAGAGTTTTCGTAATTTTGTGTTCAGTCTATACATGGCTGGAACTTAGCATTAGCCCCCACACCCCCTTCAACATGTTTTGATTACCTGCCAATACATGTTTGTTTACAGTGTTAGTGTGAGTTGGGGGCGTGGCCTGTCTGGGGTCAAACACCGGTCACGCTAGGCTGGTGTTCAGACGTCATTCAAACATTTTAAAAGTATACAATTACCAAAGCTAAATTTAGAAGTAAAAAAAAAAAACCTACATAGAAGTTCTGGAAGATCCACCAAGGTGTGTGAACATAATACCCTTTTAGCCAAAGAGAAGGTTTGTTAAAAAATTACAATTATTCAAAAAATAGTTTGAGCTTCGCCTTCTTGTGCAATACCTTCATTTGGAATATTACCACTGAAAACAAGGACTCAACACCTAACCCTATGGTGATAACCATTTATGAACTGTAATTCAAATTGAAAAAGGCACTGTGTTTTTACCAACCGAAGTAAGTATTATGGAAATTAATACTTACTTTAAATACAAACATTTGCTAATTTTCTTTGTGTTTGAGGGGGGGGGGGTTAAAAACTGTTTCTTCCAAACTTTTTTCTCCGGGGTGGGCACTTGATATTTTCGGGGGGGGGGGGGGGGGGGGGGAAGGCGCGGACACTGTTAAAAGCATATATTTTCTATATAAATTCCATTTCGTTGGGGGGGGGGGGGGGCGGTAGACTTTCTTCGAGGGAGTGGGGGGGGGGGGGGAGCGGGGAGGTTGCTGCACGCCCCCGCCCCCCCCCCCCCACAACTCCCGAAGAGATGTTACGTTGTGTAAAGGGCGACTACCCTAGTAAATGGTACAAACTACAGGTTTTTCAACGCAGCTGTATAGAGGCGAAAGGTGCGCTTAGATTGACCTACGTAGCGGTCTATTTGCTGTCGTTTTAAATTTAAATACCAACTTTTAAAAATCTAGCTTGTGTTTAAGTCAATATTTATTTTTCTCTCACTACCTAACCCTCTCAATGTACCTTTTCTTAACTCTCTTATTCACTACCCACCCTCATTCAAAATATATTTCTGGTTTTTTTTTTCCTACCTCCAAACCTCCCCCGCCTATGATAAAGACATTTCAGCGCTTACCTATTCAATCAATGCACTTCAATCGTGATCGTGATCGTGATCGATATCATATCTTATTTACACCTGCGGTTAATCCCCCGATCACCTTTTGAACACCAACCCCACTCTCTCTAGCACTTTAAAAAACCCTCGACACAATGCTAGGCGCCCAACCCGTTCACCCCGCGAACCCATTTCAGTCAGACAACGTAATCGACGACCCTCCATTAAAAAACAAACACGTATTTTGATCACGTGACCAGCGAGCCCTAAATAAACACATCTACGTGTCTGTTCAAAGGTGTCTTGGGAGAACCTACACCTTTTATAACACCATGTAAACACCATTCAAATATCAATGCTTTAAAGATGACGTCGTTTCGGTTCTTTTCAATACTACTCCAGCACGATAATAAACGGTTCGATTACTTTTTTAAAGATCTTTTTTCGAGTACTTTTAGAACTTCAGAAGCCAATCGCAAAGTTAATGTCTTAGCTTATGGTCCTGTCTTGTATGGTTCTTTAAAGTTGGAGAAAATACATTTCAGTAGGTGGATTTTGTCGACATTATTAGCTATCGTCTTTATGTAATTTATTCACACGTGATTGGATTTAAGAGATGCATTGATTAATCTACTCAATAATTGTTTATTTCTTGATATAGAATACAATGGACTAATCATTTCTGCAGGAGATGTTTAGTTTTTCAAATGTGTTTTAATATTTTTTGTTTTATGCAATCAAAATTTTCTTTAACTTAACTTAGTGATACTTTATAATCCGATTTTATAATAAGTTAACTATAAATAAAAGAAACATGTTGAACTAGTAGATCAGTCTGTTTGTCCTTATTACAGACTTGTAATAATTACATTTTAATGCAGATTAAAATAGATGATTGAAGTGCTGTATAATTGGTGAAAAACCTAAATAATATTATTTTCCATCACTGTCGATGTATATCCCATACAGACTTATGTCTTCCTCTCTAATAAGACATAGTTCTGTCTCCACACCATCTTTAATCTCAGAATAGGCCTGTCTCAACACCATAAGCCTGTCTTTTTAAATTTATTTTTTTGTTGTTGTTTTTTTTTTGTTTCTGTTGCCGTTCACTGACCACTTTGCGATTCGGCATTTGCCCAGAGGGTCTATCGACAGCAGCCCATTTAAAAAAAAATATTTTTATACTTGGATTCAAGCTAATCTTAATTCTGTCAATGAATAATTAGTTGAAGAAATTGCTACATACAATAACAAAAGGCCTATAGTGCGTAGACAGTATTTTTTAAATCATTCGTATTTCCTTTATTAAAAATTCATTTCACCTAGAAAACAGGGTTGATCATAGAAATAATTAATATAGCAATGTTTAACACAATAACCGCATTATAGTTATATAATTAATTGTTTAATTTTAAAAAAAATATTTTAAGACTAGACAAAATATTTTTATAAAATGTTTTTATTTTAAGTATTGTCATAGAGAGAAAAAATATACATGGCAGAAAGTTACAACCTGTTCGGTTGCTTGTCATAAACGAGTTATAGGTTGCAACAAGTGTATTTCGACGTCAGCTATTTGAATCGGTGTGAGACAAAACCAAGCTTGTGATCTACAGTTTAGTACGTGGCAACATTTTCCAAACCCCTTGTGTGATAAATCTGACAACTATTTCACCAATTACTATTTCTTGACTGGAGTTGTACGGTGCACCGTTTAGTCATTTATCTGAGAAAATTGTTTCAACCCTGGTCATGTGGTATCTGGTACTAAGTCTGCTGCTGTCTGTTCTCGCACTTAGCGAGGGAACGGTGAGTTTTTAAAAACCTTTTTTCCTAACTTTTTTAAACTCTTTGGATCGATAGTCATTTATATTGTATTATATATATATATATATATATATATATATATATATATATATATATATATATATATATAGTGATATATATATATAGTGATATATATATATATGCTATATATTTCAATGCATGATCCGACGTCTGTTTACAGTTGAAAATTTAATAAAAGCGTTGGTAACAAAAAGAATCTGAGCGAATAACACACAGTGTTTCTTCCAGCCTTTTTTGTCCAGGGGGGGGGGGGGGCGGACACTGTTAAATGTATATATGTTCTATATAAATTCTATTTTGTTCGGGGGGGGGGGGAGGATGCCTAGAAGAAACCCTGATAACACAGTCACTTCCGTTATTTCAGCTGCTTATCGCCCCAACGTTTACCAAGGTTGCCATGGTGAATGAAGGAACGACAACCAATGAAATTCTCTCTAGCTTGACGTGCACCGACAGCGATGGAGACCTGACGTCAATGTCTGTCAAGTCAATGACGCCGTCAAGTCCATGTTCGAAGTGTTTCGAGGTCTTGTCCTGTGGGGCTGGTGAGTCTTGTGTGTGGGAGTGTGTGTGTGTGTGTGTGTGCTGTGTGTGCTGTGTGTCGGAGTGTGTGTGTGTCTATGTGTGGGAGTGTGTGTCTGTGTGTGTGTGTTAGCGTGGAATGAGGGATTGGGTCTAAGTGTGTTGATGCCCTATTGAGTCTTGTCTTAAAAAAAATATCACCTGTACAATATAATGGGATGGAGTGGCCTAGCGGTAGAGAGCTAGACTGCTAACCCTTTAGTCTAAAGTTTGAATCCGGGTCCAAGTCAGTAGCATGTCACAGAGTCCACCCTGATCTGAGGGTACCTAACTTAAGTTAGGGTAAGTAAAGGCGGCTCGGTATAGTGCAAACCTTCATGTGCGGAGGTCGCAGAGATAAGTGAACTCTACTTCATTTGGCCCGTAAACCGTCAGGTTTGAAAGGGAACTTTACTTACTTACTTACAACATAATAGATTAGAAAGTGTTTCGATATCTAAAGTGGTGAATATGATAGGTTTTGTGTGAGTGGTGTTTTTTGGGGGGTAGGGGGGGGGAGTGTGCAATTTAGCGAGTGATTATGTTACTGAATCTGTTCCAATTAAAAAAAAAACAGGTTTAAAACTATACAGCGAAGAGTATATTTTGTATTTACTAGCTCTGGCTGTTAAAACACTATTGTTACATGTTGCGAGTAAAGTGAGTGTATTCAGATTTTCAGTCTAAATGACCAAGTACTTCTTGCCTCTACACAGCGGACTGTCTCCAGTACCGAGCTGGGGTTGGAACCCTGGACTACACCTCGGCACAATATTACCTGGTCACCGTCTCGTGCACGGACAACAAGGAGACGCCGGTCACAGAGGTCATCGAGGTCGAGGTCATACCAAACTCACCCCCGTACTTTGACCCCGATAAGCTCTACGGTGAGTCATGAGTCATGAAAGCTATATATCAGCAGGGTTTTGTAGGGTTTTTTGGATGTGACGGTGGGTAGCTATATATATATATTGTTGTACATAAAGCACTACCGTTAAAAATTAAAATGTCACCTTGCTAGATTAAATATACGAAGCCTAGTAAAGTTTGATAAAAAAAAGGTTAGAAGCCCCTGTACTTTGTTAAATATAAGGTACCAGTCTTAGAACTATTATTTTGAAACAGAGGCCCTATTAGCCAGATAAATTAGTCGTATGAGCGTAACTTATCCTGTTACTTATATCAAAGCAACTAGCCCAGCTAAGGGTTTTGCTTAAACACCATAACCCTTGTACCTGTTAGGATTAAATGTACTAGTGTAAGTGCTCTGGAAACTTTCTTTATGTTGTCTTCTGGCATTGGATCTACTGATTTGTATTAGACATTATTGTGCTGAAATTGAACTTGGATCTTGTTAGCAGAGCTTGAACAGTTTTTACTTACACGTGATTGTTACCTCCCATGTTTACATATATGAATATTATTATCTCCCTTTTTTTGAAGCTCCACCAGGCTTAGTTTAAAGCTTTCATGTTGACGGTAAGGTAAATTTATCCTCGTCTAGTGCTAGACACCATGGACTCAAGCGTCGCAGCAGGTCAGGTCGTCTATGACGTCGATGCTACGGATGACGAAAACGATGACATCACATACAGTCTGGAAGTCCTTCCGTCGTCCTCTGCTAGTCATTACATCATTGATAAATGTAAGCATAATTTAAATACATTGATACATGTAAGGGTAATTTAAATACACGATCGATAAATGTATGACTAATTGCCTTCACTACACCATTGATACAGAAACAAGTGAACTCTACTTCACTTGCCCCATAGACCGTCAGGTTTGAAAGGGAAACTTTTACCTTTACACCATTGATAAATTTAAGGATGATTTCTTTCGATACACAATATATAAATATAAGGATGATTTCCTTCACTACATTATTGATAAATGAAATGCGAATTTCCTTCAACAAGTATTTGTCAATCTACTGAACTATTTAAGACTACACAAATGATAACAATAAGGCTAATTCCTGCCATACTTCCTTTGACAATCTACTTAGTTATTTAAGGCTGTTGTTTCACCTAGACTCCTGCATAATAATACACACACAAATTAGTTTAAATGGAATACGCATTATATTTTATACGTATTACAATTTACACTAATAAGTATGATCATACATCTATTAAAATGTATATTGAAGAACGCTTTAATGTGATGCAAACGTTTATTTAAATAATGTGACCTTATTTTTTTCTTTAAATGTGTTGGTTTGAATGGGTAATTTTTTTTTTTCAAAATATAATCCAGTTTCTTTTCTAAAAATCGGATAGAGATAATAATGTTTTCTAATGTTTTGATTATGACAGTATAATTTAGATATAATTTAAACCGTTAAGAACTTTGAATAAAAAAATATTTTTTCACACTTCATCTTATTCAAACTAACACTGAAATGCGTGGTTAAAAGTAGAAATTCTACATAGTAATAATCGCAATCATACATGTCACAAAACACTTTGAAGCATACCAGTGGTACCTATTTGTTTTTCCAGATACGGGCAAGATCACAACAACAGTTCCACTGAAGGCCGAATGCAACAATGACGTCACATTTCGTGTCACAATCAACGACGGTAAAAACACTGCCGGACCCTTGGTGATCGATAAGTCAATAACAAGTACGTCACAGAAAACAATATTGGCTTTATCTAATCTGTTATGATCACTAACTTGAACTTAATAATTAGGCATGTAAAGTATTTTAGTAAGACATAATAATTAAAAGTTTATTTTTAGACCTTGCAATCATGTTCTTCTCGGATTGTGTGGTCAGGCTTATGCCCAGTGGTCTTTGCTTTCCCCAACGTAAGTTAGGTACCCATTAGAGATAGGTGTACTCAGGTACATCATACAGCCCTAAGTTCGAACTCGAGACCTTTTGGTTAGCAGCCAAAAACTCTATCATTCGGTCACGCCGTCTTTGTAAGACATGATACTAAAGAAAAAATAAACATAAGTACTTGTGAAAATGTTTTAGAAATATTTTTTTAACAAATTAACTTATCTGCGAGAATTAAACAAATTTTTTTTGACTCCGTCTCAACCAGATCCGAACACAGCACCAGTGGCCTCAAACCTGGACACGACGATCCAGATACCGGAAGACGCGACTGGCACCGCCTACAAGATCCGGATGATTGACGGCAACGGGGATCCGCTGACGTACACAGTGACGTCATCCAACGCTGCGGGTTTCGCGCAGTTCAAGCTTAATCGTAAGTCTCGTGAATCTTTGCCGTAAGTCTCGTGTGTCTTTGTCGTAAGTCTCGTGTATCATTAAGTCTCGTGAATCTTTGTCGTAAGTCTCGTGTATCTTTGTCATAAGTCTCGTGTATCATTAAGTCTCGTGAATCTTTATCGTAAGTCTCGTGTATCTTTGTCGTAAGTCTCGTGTATCTTTGTCGTAAGTCTCGTGTATCTTTGTCGTAAGTCTCGTGTATCTTTGTCGTAAGTCTCGTGTATCTGTGTCATAAGTCTCGTGTATCTTTATCGTAAGTCTCGTGTATCTGTGTCATAAATCTCGTGTATCTTTGTCGTAAGTCTCGTGTATCTGTGTCATAAGTCTCGTGTATCTTTGTCTTAAGTCTCGTGTATCTGTGTCATAAATCTCGTGTATCTTTGTCGTAAGTCTCGTAAATCTTTGTCGTAAGTCTCGTGTGTCTTTGTCGTAAGTATCGAGTATCTTTGTCGTAAGTCTCGTGAATCTTTGTCGTAAGTCTCGTGAATCTTTGTTGTAAATCTCGCGAATCTTTGTTGAAAGTCTCGTGTATCTTTGTCGTAAGTCTCGTGTATCTGTGTCGTAAGTCTCGTGTATCTGTGTCGTAAGTCTCATGTATCTGTGTCGTAAGTCTCGTGTATCTTTGTCGTAAGTCTCGTGTATCTTTGTCGTAAGTCTCGTGTATCTTTGTCGTAAGTCTCGTGTATCTTTGTCTTAAGTCTCGAGTATCTTTGTCGTAAGTCTCGTGTATATTTGTCGTAAGTCTCGTGTATAATTGTCGTAAGTCTCGTGTATCATTAAGTCTCGAGTATCATTTAGTCTCGTGTATCTTTGTCTTAAGTCTCGAGTATCTTTGTCGTAAGTCTCGTGTATCATTAAGTCTCGTGTATCTTTGTTGTAAGTCTCGTGTTTCTTTGTCGTAAGTCTCGTGAATCATTAAGTCTCGTGTATCTTTGTCGTAAGTCTCGTGTATCATTGTCGTAAGTCTTGTGTATCATTAAGTCTCGTGTATCTTTGTCGTAAGTCTTGTGTATCTTTGTTGTAAGTCTCGTGTGTCATTACGTCTCGTGTATCTTTGTCGTAAGTCTCGTGAATCATTAAGTCTCGTGAATCTGTGTCGTAAGTCTCGTGTATCATTAAGTCTCGTGTATCATTAAGTCTCGTGTATCTTTGTCGTAAGTCTCGTGAATCTTTGTCGTAAGTCTCGTGAATCTTGGTCGTAAGTCTTGTGTATCTTTGTCGTCAGTCTCGTGTATCTTTGTCGTAAGTCTTGTGTATCTTTGTCGTAAGTCTTGTGTATCTTTGCCGTAAGTCTCGTGTATCTTTGTCGTAAGTCTCGTGAATCATTAAGTCTCGTGTATCTTTGTCGTAAGTCTCGTGTGTCTTTGTCGTAAGTCTCGTGTATCTTTGTCGTAAGTCTCGTGTATCTTTGTCGTAAGTCTTGTGTATCTTTGTCGTAAGTCTCGTGTATCTTTGTCGTAAGTCTCGTGTATCTTTGTCGTAAGTCTCGTGAATCTTTGTCGTAAGTCTTGTGTATCTTTGTCGTAAGTCTCGTGTATCTTTGTCGTAAATCTCGTGAATCTTTGTCGTAAATCTTGTGTATCTTTGTCGTAAGTCTAGTGTATCATTAAGTCTCGTGTATCTTTGTCTTAAGTCTCGTGTATCATTAAGTCTCGTGAATCTTTGTCTTAAGTCTCGAGTATCTTTGTCGTAAGTCTTGTGTATCTTTGTCGTAAGTCTCGTGTATCATTAAGTCTCGTGTATCATTTAGTCTCGTGTTTCTTTGTCGTAAGTCTCGTGAATCTTTGTCTTAAGTCTCGTGTATCTTTGTCGTAAGTCTCGTGTATCATTAAGTCTCGTGTATCATTTAGTCTCGTGTATCTTTGTCGTAAGTCTTGTGTATCTTTGTCGTAAGTCTCGTGTATCATTAAGTCTCGTGTATCTTTGTGGTAAGTCTCGTGTTTCTTTGTCGTAAGTCTCGTGAATCATTAAGTCTCGTGTATCTTTGTCGTAAGTCTCGTGAATCATTAAGTCTCGTGTATCTATGTCGTAAGTCTCGTGTATCATTAAGTCTCGTGTATCATTGTCGAAAGTCTTGTATATCTTTGTTGTAAGTCTCGTGTATCATTAAGTCTCGTGTATCTTTTGTCGTGAGTCTCGTGAATCATTAAGTCTCGTGTATCATTGTCGTAAGTCTTGTGTATCTTTGTTGCAAGTCTCGTGAATCATTAAGTCTCGTGTATCTGTGTCGTAAGTCTCGTGTATCATTAAGTCTCGTGTATAATTGTCGTAAGTCTTGTGTATCTTTGTTGTAAGTCTCGTGTATCATTAAGTCTCGTGTATCATTAAGTCTCGTGAATCTTTGTCTTAAGTCTCGTGAATCTTTGTCGTAAGTCTTGTGTATCTTTGTCGTAAGTCTCGTGTATCTTTGTCGTAAGTCTCGTGAATCTTTGTCGTAAGTCTTGTGTATCTTTGTCGTCAGTCTCGTGTATCTTTGTCGCAAGTCTCGTGAATCATTAAGTCTCGTGTATCATTAAGTCTCGTGTATCTTTGTCTTAAGTCTCGTGTATCATTAAGTCTCGTGAATCTTTGTCTTAAGTCTCGTGAATCTTTGTCGTAAGTCTTGTGTATCTTTGTCGTCAGTCTCGTGTATCTTTGTCGTAAGTCTCGTGTACCATTAAGTCTCGTGAATCTTTGTCGTAAGTCTTGTGTATCTTTGTCGTAAGTCTTGTCTATCTTTGCCGTAAGTCTCGTGTATCTTTGTCGTAAGTCTCGTGAATCATTAAGTCTCGTGTATCTTTGTCGTAGGTCTTCGTGTGTCTTTGTCTTAAGTCTCGTGTATCTTTGTCGTAAGTCTCGTGTGTCTTTGTCGTAAGTCTCGTGTATCTTTGTCGTAAGTCTCGTGTATCTTTGTCGTAAGTCTCGTGTATCTTTGTCGTAAGTCTCGTGAATCTTTGTCGTAAGTCTTGTGTATCTTTGTCGTAAGTCTTGTGTATCTTTGTCGTAAGTCTCGTGTATCTTTGTCTTAAGTCTCGTGTATCTTTGTCGTAAGTCTCGTGTATCATTAAGTCTCGTGTATCATTTAGTCTCGTGTATCTTTGTCGTAAGTCTTGTGTATTTTTGTCGTAAGTCTCGTGTATCTTTGTCGTAAGTCTCGTGTATCTTTGTCGTAAGTCTCGTGAATCTTTGTCGTAAGTCTTGTGTATCTTTGTCGTAAGTCTCGTGTATCTTTGTCGTAAATCTCGTGAATCTTTGTCGTAAGTCTTGTGTATCTTTGTCGTAAGTCTCGTGTATCTTTGTCGTAAGTCTAATGTATCTTTGTCGTAAGTCTAGTGTATCATTAAGTCTCGTGTATCTTTGTCTTAAGTCTCGTGTATCATTAAGTCTCGTGAATCTTTGTCTTAAGTCTCGAGTATCTTTGTCGTAAGTCTTGTGTATCTTTGACGTAAGTCTCGTGTATCATTAAGTCTCGTGTATCATTTAGTCTCGTGTATCTTTGTCGTAAGTCTCGTGTATCATTAAGTCTCGTGTATCATTTAGTCTCGTGTATCTTTGTCGTAAGTCTTGTGTATCTTTGTCGTAAGTCTCTTGTATCATTAAGTCTCGTGTATCTTTGTGGTAAGTCTCGTGTTTCTTTGTCGTAAGTCTCGTGAATCATTAAGTCTCGTGTATCTTTGTCGTAAGTCTCGTGAATCATTAAGTCTCGTGTATCTATGTCGTAAGTCTCGTGTATCATTAAGTCTCGTGTATCATTGTCGAAAGTCTTGTATATCTTTGTTGTAAGTCTCGTGTATCATTAAGTCTCGTGTATCTTTTGTCGTGAGTCTCGTGAATCATTAAGTCTCGTGTATCATTGTCGTAAGTCTTGTGTATCTTTGTTGCAAGTCTCGTGAATCATTAAGTCTCGTGCATCTTTGTCGTAAGTCTCGTGTATCATTAAGTCTCGTGTATAATTGTCGTAAGTCTTGTGTATCTTTGTTGTAAGTCTCGTGTATCATTAAGTCTCGTGTATCATTAAGTCTCGTGAATCTTTGTCGTAAGTCTCGTGAATCTTTGTCGTAAGTCTTGTGTATCTTTGTCGTCAGTCTCGTGTATCTTTGTCGCAAGTCTCGTGTATTATTAAGTCTCGTGTATCATTAAGTCTCGTGTATCTTTGTCTTAAGTCTCGTGTATCATTAAGTCTCGTGAATCTTTGTCTTAAGTCTCGTGAATCTTTGTCGTAAGTCTCGTGAATCTTTGTCGTAAGTCTTGTGTATCTTTGTCGTCAGTCTCGTGTATCTTTGTCGTAAGTCTCGTGTACCATTAAGTCTCGTGAATCTTTGTCGTAAGTCTTGTGTATCTTTGTCGTAAGTCTTGTCTATCTTTGCCGTAAGTCTCGTGTATCTTTGTCGTAAGTCTCGTGAATCATTAAGTCTCGTGTATCTTTGTAGTAGGTCTTCGTGTGTCTTTGTCTTAAGTCTCGTGTATCTTTGTCGTAAGTCTCGTGTGTCTTTGTTGTAAGTCTCGTGTATCTTTGTCGTATGTCTCGTGTATCTTTGTCGTAAGTCTCGTGTATCTTTGTCGTAAGTCTCGTGAATCTTTGTCGTAAGTCTTGTGTATCTTTGTCGTAAGTCTTGTGTATCTTTGTCGTAAGTCTCGTGTATCTTTGTCTTAAGTCTCGTGTATCTTTGTCGTAAGTCTCGTGTATCATTAAGTCTCGTGTATCATTTAGTCTCGTGTATCTTTGTCGTAAGTCTTGTGTATCTTTGTCGTAAGTCTCGTGTATCATTAAGTCTAGTGTATCTTTGTGGTAAGTCTCGTGTTTCTTTGTCGTAAGTCTCGTGAATCATTAAGTCTCGTGTATCTTTGTCGTAAGTCTCGTGTATCATTAAGTCTCGTGTATCATTAAGTCTCGTGTATCATTGTCGAAAGTCTTGTATATCTTTGTTGTAAGTCTCGTGTATCATTAAGTCTCGTGTATCTTTTGTCGTGAGTCTCGTGAATCATTAAGTCTCGTGT